CCACCTGCCACGGCCTGTACCCACAGAGCCCTGGGGCAGCCCCTGCTTCCCACGTGGCCCCAGCTCTCCTCCAGCTGCCACCTTCCCAAGGGTCCGGCCAGGCCAACATGCCCATACCACCTCCCCCCGCACCTGCTTCTCCCCATGCTGCCTGGACCCTACCGTAAGCATAGAGACCCATTGTGTGGGAGGGTCCTGGCTGGCTTGGCCCCAAGCACTGCCTTTGGCACCACTTCCCAGGGCCTGGGGGACGCTCCCATGGCTGGGCCCTTGCACTGGAGGCAGCTCTGCCCCACTCATGCTGTGCACAGGGAGGCTGAGCCCAGAGCTGGGAGCCCCCTGCACCCAATGTCTTACCCTGGCCAGACAGTGTCCCCTCACGGGCAGGGCAGGGCAGTTGCAGCCCATCCCTGCAGAGCTGTGTGGGCCAGGCCAGGCCGCACTTAAGGTGCCACTCACTGGGCCCCTGCCTGCCCACCATGGCCCGCGTGTGCAGAGCCCCAGGGCATCCCGTGCTTTCCGCCGGGCCCCTGGTCTTCTCCAGCTACTGCCTCCCCAAGGACCTGGCTGAGCTGGCCCAGCCACAGCCCCTCCCCCTGCAACTGATTTTCCCCGTGCTGCCCAGACCCTGCCCCAAGTACCCAGCCTCAGTGCTCAGTGCCTTGGGGCTGCCCCCACGCCAGCTGGGCCCTACCTTCCAGCCCTGGGCCCAGGCTCGCCCCATTCTAGGACCATCACTGCCTCCCTCTGCCAGACACTGCCCTGAACCAGCAGTCCCAAGCCACGGCTAGTAGCAGTGGGAGATGTGGACAGCGAGGGACTCACCCTCCTTCTCTTTTTCCTTTTTTACTTTCTTTTTCTTTCTTTCTTTTTTCTTCTTTTTCTTCTCTTCTCTTTTTTTCTCTCTTTTCTCTTTCCTTCTTTCTTTCCTTTTTTCCTTCTCTTTTTCTCTCCCCTTTTTCTTTTATCTCATTGTTTTTTTCTCTCTCCCTCTTTGTCTTTTTTCTCCTCTCTTTTCTCTCCTCTTTTTTCTCTCCTTTTTTCCTATTTCTTCTTTTTTCTCTGCTTTTCCTCTTTCTCTTCTTTCTTTCAACTTTTTCTCTTTTCTTTTTCTTTTTCCCTTTTTTCGTTCTCTTTCCATCTTTTTTCTCTCTCCTTTCTCTCTCTCTCTTCTCTCTTTTATTGCAACATGCTTAACAAAAAAAGAATACACAAGAACAAAGGTAGTATCTGGAGTTTTATTTATTATTACCAGGTTTAGAATTTTTAGAAAACCTGGTATTTACTGTGGAAAAAAAAAAAGCAACATTTGTGATTGTTAACTACATTAATATGCAATGCATCCTGCCATGTACCCCCTGCTCCCGTTTTGCTTTTCTGGCATGCTGGCACCTTACAAGATAGACATGGTGGGGTTTTTGGCACTCCAACCAAAAACGTTGCCTACCTTTGTCATAGATGTTAATTGAAAAGCTTGCTCCCCTAATCTTCGGGGGGCTTTGGATCAGACTGCAAATTATTACCTCACTGAAAGGACTAATTCAAAACACTGAATTAATTTTATAATAAATCCTTTCTGCTTTGCATTGTCATATAGTCTTTACAGACATGGCCAGTTGCTTAAATTATGTGCTACCCTCTTAAAAACTTATTGTTTTTAGTGACACAAATAGATACCTTTTCATAACAATCTCTTCTGAAAAGGGTGCTGTAGATTGCAAGAGAAGGAAGGTCATTTCTAAAGATCCTATCAGAATAGATGCATTTTATATTGTTTTCCTGTAGTTTAGAAGGCTATCTAAAAGTTTTCTGTAGAAGTTTAAAAAAATAAATCAGCAGTCTCCTTTGTATTTAGACATGTTCATTGTAAAGAAATTTAATGGGAATATCATATCACTTAGTCTGAATTAAGAGGAAGATTTTCAGAAGTATCTAAATGATTCAGGAGTACAAGTCACTTATACTTCTGAAGATCCTACCCATTTTTCCTTCGTGTCAATAAAACTGAATAAACAAGTTCTGTGATCTAATCCCAAGTGTGAGCATACAGATCTTTAGCTATTTGGTGATAACTTCCTACATACATGTTGCTACATACATGTTGCAGAAAATGTGAGGAAGATTCCACTTACTGTACAGTGAAAGTATGCATACAGACACTTATTGTGGAGTAGCTAACATGCTCGAAGGTCATGTACTAGCTCACAGTAGAGTTTTGTGGAGCCACACCCAAAAGATATTTTGTCCTGTAGAAATAGACATGTTTAACTTGATTCACAGCTGGAGATATTAGAATCATAGAAAATTAGGGTTGGAAGGAACCTCATAAGGTCATCTAGTCCAACACCCTACTCAAAGCAGGACCATCCCCAACTAGATCATCCCAGCCAAGGCTTTGTCTAGCTGGGTCTTAAAAACCTCCAAGGATGGAGCTTCCATCACCTGTCTGAGTAACCTGTTCCAGTGTTTTACTACCCTCCTAGTGAGAGAGCTTTTCCTAATATCTAACCTAAACTTCCATTGCTGCAACTTGAGACCACTGCTCCTTGTTCTGTTATCTGCCACCACTGAGAACAGTCCAGCTGCAGCCTCTTTAGAACCACCCTTCAGGTAGTTGAAGGCTGCTATTAAATCCCCTCTCAGACTAAATAAGCCCAGTTCCCTCAACCAGTTCCCTCAACCCTCAACCTCTTCTCATAAGTCATGTGCCCCAGCCTCCTAACCATTTTCATTGCCCTGTGCTGGATTCTCCAATTTGTCCATGTCCTTTCTGTAGTGGGGAGCCCAAAATTGGACACCAGTTCCCCAGATGTGGCCTCACCAGTGCTGAATAGGGGGGAATAATCACTTCCCCATATCTGCTGGCAACACTCCTACCAATGGAGCCCAGGATGCTGTTACCCTGCTTGGCAACAAGAGCACACAGTTGACTCATAGTCATCTTATTGTTCACTGTAATCCCCAGGTCCTTTTCTGCAGAGCTGCTGCCTAACCAGTCAGTCCCCAGCCTGTACCAGTGCATGGGCTTGTTCCTTCCTAAGTGCAGGACTTTGCACTTGTCTTTACTGAACCTCATGAGATTTATTTTGGTCCAGTCCTCCAATTTGTCTAGGTCTCTTTGAATCCTAACCCTTCCTTCCAGTATATCTACTACTCCCCCCAGCTTGGTGTCATCTGCAAACTTGCTGGGGGTGCACTCCATCCCAACTTCCAGGTCACTGATGAAGATGCCTTATATATAAAGCTAAATAAAACATAGTACAAAGTACTGAATCACTGGAGTATTTAAAAACTATTTGTTTTGTTTTTGTATTTATTTTGGTGGGGGGCGGTTTAAATCTCTCAGGGAGTCTTATTGGTGTTCAAGTTTTATAACAGAGGTGACTGTGAAACCTACTAATGCGTATTAAATCTTAATAATCTAGTTCAGAAGTACAAAAGTAATTTCCACCTCGCCTTGCTTCTATGACGACAATTCAAAATGCTGGGATTGGGTTCTAGTTACTTAGTTCAGTCGCAAACAGTTAAAGGGCAGAACTTTCCAGTAAAGAGTCTTTAGTTGTATAAGAGTTTTTCACAAGAGATTTGACAGAGCTCATTGTTGTTTGCTTTTAAGATATAAGTCTGCTATTTTGTCAGATTTCCTACTCATTCCTGTTTTGGACCCCATGTTTTCTTTCAACTTTGCTCTCACCCTTTATTTATACATAATATTTATACATAATATAAAATAGCATAGCAGTCAAATTTTGAACACTGTTGGTATTTCCAAGAAGAATTTCCAGAGTCCCAGAGAGACTTTGCTAGTATCATCAGGGGAAAAAAGCTTTTTTTCATTAATAATGTTAAATAATGTATACACTTAAATCAGATAAAGATCAACTTGTTAATAGAACATCTACTACAACAGTGGTTTTCAAACTTTTCTGTCTGCAAACCCCTTTACCTGCAAAACATATTGCTGCTTGTACCTTCAACACAGCCAGATCCTGGGGGTGGGGAAGAAGGACTTCCCTGCTGGCAGAGTGTAGTGCATGTTGGGAAATACCATCCATCAGAGAAGGGATTCCCCATGTTGATGGAGCGTGGTGCATGCTGAGACCTATCACACAGGTCACACACAGGGGAACAAGCCAAGTCCTGCTCTCGAGCACTGCTCCTATACCCCACAATCCAGAGCCAGGCATCTGCCGTTCTCGGTACCTGCTGCCATCTCCAGTGCTGCCACACAATGCAGGACAGCCAAATGGCAGATCCCTGTGAAGAAGAACCAGCACTGAAGTGTTGGGCCATACCTCTGCATGCATGGCGAGCTTTGTACCCCGCTGCAGCTGCTGCATGGTATTTATATGCTCAGCAGAAACCAAGGCATCACCTGCTCCCTTCCCACAGCACTGCCCCTTGTGACAGTGTAGGAAGAGGGAAGGGGAGCCATTTAAGGTCAGCCTCTGATTAGCTGAATGAGCTTTTCTTCATCCTGATTGGGAGAGGAAGGCTCAGTTTCACTTTTCTTGGCTGCTTGGATAGTTGGAGAAGGGCAGAAGCTGTATTGTTCTAGACTCTACTAAATTATGGATGCTGATTCCATCAGGTTTTTGCCTTCCTCTGTAGCAGAGAGGAGCATGGGTCTCTTCCTTCCATCTCTCGAGTAGCAGCAGGGTGTTGGCTGAACAAATGGACTTCCCACACAAACACACTACAGTGCTAGGAAAGAGTAGAGAAAAACACCTATTTTTAAGGGGAAAAAACTTAGTTGCAGTTGTTGTTCTGCTGGCTGGTTGATTGTGATGTGTTTTATTGGTTTATTTCAGTATCTTGTAAAAGTATGAAATATTTTTTCCCCTGAAGGTCCTACAAATCTTTCTTGCTTTTTGTCCCAAGGTTGTGCTTGATCACTTAAGTATCTGAAATGTTAATTGTTATTTTTCCAAGGAGGAGGAGGGGCTTTGAGTATGTACATTGTTTTTTCAATGCTCTCTTGTGTCTTGATTTACTTGCAGACATTTCAGCAATCTTCTCTACAGCAGAAAACTAAAAAGAAAAACAAAGGTAAATAATGAATAAGTACTTTCTGATACAATGGTAGGAAATAAAACTGAATATTATTGTCTATAATAGTGTAATATTTTAAAGATGATGATGTGTTAACCAACTAAATGTGTTCATTTGACAAAACTGTTCATCCATTTTTAATATTGTGTCATTCTCTCCTTGTGCTTCTCTGTCTATATCCAACTGTTGTCTCTTGTGTTATACTTAGAGTGCATCTTCTTGGGGACTGGGATCATCTTTTTGCCCTCTTTGTGCAATGCTTAATTATACATGGGCTCCTGGTCCACAGCTAGGACACCTAAGTGATGTGGTAATATACATAATAATTATGAATTGTCCTTCTTTGGTTCAGAACACTTTCAGCAGTCTTTTGTAAAGGTATGGATGTATTGCTGAACAGCAGCATGATCCTTTATGTAGGTTTTCATGGCCCCTTCAAATACTTGTAAAGATCATCAGGTCATAGGAAAGTACAGCTGGAAGAGACTCCATGAGGTCCTCTAGTTTAGCTCCCTACTCAAAACAGGATCATCCCTGACTAAACCTTACCAGCCAAGTTCATGTCTAACCTGCTCTTGAAAATTTCCGGAGATGGAGATTCTACAGCTTCTCTAGGCAACCTGTTTCAGTACTTAACCATCAGCAGAGTCATTAAATTCTCCCTAATCTCCAGTATACATTTCCTATGCTGCAGTTTAAGGTTATTGCTGCTAGCCTGATCCCCTACAGCCACAGGCAAAGGTCTGTCTCTGTAATCTCCTTTTAGGTATTTAAATGTTGCTATCAAATCTTCCCTCAGACCTCTCTTCTTCAGACTAAATAATCCTAGTTCTTTCTGCCTTTCCTCATAAGTCACACTTCTCACTCACCTGACATTTTTGTTGCTGTTTGCTGGACTCTTTCTAATTTGTCCACATCTTTCTTTAAGGGTTAGGCCTAAAATTGGACATAGAACTTCATGTGAGGAGGCTTCATTAGTGCCAAGTAGAACAGAAGAATCACTTCTCCTGATTTGCAAATGACATTTTGTTAGTTAAACCCAGTATTCTGTTGGCTTTTTTTGCAACAAGAGCATACTGTTGGCCATGGGCATATCTAAGATGTCATGAAGTGGGGTGCAGCACACTGCATCGCACACCGTGGGAGGATATGGGGGTAAGGCATGGCTGGAATCTGGAAAGGTAGCAGGTACATGACAAAGGAACCCATTACCACTGCTGCTGCTACAGTCCCCAGCTCAGCCCAGGCATGGGGGGAGCCCCAGAGCCACTTCTACTCTGCTCCAGTCAGGGGCTGTGAGGGGTGGCTGTACAGGGTACATCTCTTGGCTGGGGATAGCATGGCAGTGCACAGGATCCTTCTTCCAGTGTCTGCTCTCTGCCCATTCTCCCTCGAATGTCCCCCACTGCTGGAAGAAGGAACGCATGCATCAGCACTGCTGTTTCTGGCTGAGTCTAGCATCCCGTGACTGGAGCAGTGCAGGAGTCACTCAAGGGGCCCTCCCCATGCCTGTCAGTGGTGGGGGATGGGTTCATCACAGTGGAGGAGCAGTTAGAAGAAAAGGAAATCTGCCTTCTGCCACTGCTGTTCCCAGAAGAGCCCAGCACCCCATGCAGCTGCTCCCTGCAGCCTTTGGCTGCATTGGGGCAAGAGTAACTCTGGGCCCAGGAATAGTAGTGGCACTGAAAGGGACATACAGCCACACCCCTTCATCCCACCCTGGAACCACCACTGCTGCTGGCTCCTACTTAGTTTATGCTCCATTGTAACCCCCAGGTCCTTCACAGCTGAAAGACCTGTAAAGTCATCCTTCACTGAATAGTGTTATTGGGAAAAAAGGATATTTTACTTTGTAATTATTATAAGTACCCCTGCCTGTATGTGCATTTGTTTATATTTGCTCATTTGTTTGTATATGTTATGCAATGAACTATCAGAATGTACAGAAACATCAAAACCAAGTTATCTTATTTTTGTACACATTGTCCTCCTATCCTATATAACCTCTCTTCTGTTGTCTACTGCATTTTCTTTGATACATAGATTAGTTTACTGTAGGCTAGGAAGTGTGTCTGTTTTCCTTGCTGTAGACTGCTCTCTTTGTTTAGTATTATAATGTTAGAGAAATTAATTTTGAAGTGTTATATTAATTTTTGTAAAGAGATCAATCCTTTTAGACAAACTGAACATTCCTGACTAGTTCATTAAATGCATAACAAAAGCCCTTTCGTATGTGCTCCTTTTAACTGTTGGCATTTATAGCTCCCATACCTGGTAAGAGCAAAAGGCGGATTTCCTGTAAAGATCTGGGCCGTGGGGACTGTGAAGGCTGGCTTTGGAAAAAGAAAGATGCCAAGAGTTATTTTTCCCAGAAGTGGAAGAAATATTGGTTTGTTCTGAAGGATACTTCTTTATACTGGTATATCAATGAGGAGGTAAGAATAGAAGATGTTTTTTGTTTATGTTGTGTAATGCCAGTGAGTCTCAAGTAGTACTGTTGTCATCAGTTATTTATATTCACCCAAATAATTATTCTGGAATTAACAGAACATGTAGGAAGATGTTAATCATTCATAGGAATTTGCATGGTAGCATAAAGAGGGCAACCAGGGTGCCAACACTGTGGAGGCCATGAAAATATCCACGTGAAACCCCCTGATGCTACTCAAGGTGTCCAGGGCTGCCTTATGTGCCCAGGGCACTCAGACATCCAGTTATGCCTCTGAGGCCCCTGGTAGACATTACAGTTAAGAAGTAATTAACCTATAAGGAGTTAGCATCATGACAAAATGAGAAACCAGCCACAAAAGTATTCTGTAACAATTTTATGGCTGGTTTCCATTGCACCTTAAATTAATGTGCATCAGGATAACCAGACCCAGCTTAAGATGCCAGTGCAGTCCTCTGTCTCGGACCAACAATCAGTTGATTATCAGTTCCAGCCCCAGGACCACAAAGGAGTCTGGAATTGGATCCAGTGGAGTCCAGGGTCTGGGACCAGCAATCAACTGATTGTCCCAGCTGACAACACTAGAGTTTGGGACTGGCCTGCACTAATAGTCAGGGAGTCTGGAATTGGTTCTGGTGTGGTCTTAGAGCTAGGACTGACAATCAGGTGATTGTCTCAGCTCTAGGACTGCACAGGAGTCTTGAACCGGCCACAGCACAATCCCAGGGCTAGGACCTGCAGTTGTCAGTCCAAACTCCAAGACTATTCAGGGATTTTGTACCAGCACTGGTGTGGTCCTAGGGCTGGATCTTTGAGACTGAAAATCAGTCCTGGGGCTACACAGGAGTCTCAAGGGGTCCCAGTGCAGCCCTGGTATTGCACAGGAGTCTTAAACAGTTGATTGTTGGTCCCAACCCAGATGCCACTCCAGTTCAGTTTGGCTGCAGGTACCCAGCTTTCAACTTGCCATTGCAACTTGCCTGGGTTCCTCCTGAACTGACAAGTAGTAATGGTGCCATTGGATATGGTCTCAGAATGGTGTGTCCTGCCATACATCTGTGGCATAGCAGGAGTTACGATTGTTGGGATCAGGGATTTGATCCCATCATACCATTAAATGAATGTGTGCCAGGGGCCTGAGTTTTCAGGATTTGGCCTTTAAAATTTGCCTTTTTAGCATAAGGAAGAACTGCTTATCTCAGTATTACCCTAAGCTCACAGTCTTTCACAAAGTTTCCATTTTCTCATTACTCAAAATTAGAAAAGAAAAGTTAGTCTTGTATCCCTATCATTATAAGCTAGAGATGGGATTACAGTCTTCATTTTATGTACCATTAAAAGTGCCTTATTTAATTGTAATCATTGAAATCAATGACAGTTCCTGAAGCCCTGCAATTACTCAAAACTGGCTTGTTTTTCAATCAGGTTCTATTCTAATGTGTTGTATTTTGATTTTAATTATGATTTAGGTGCTAAATTATATACTCTGTGCTTTCCAAAACAACCATTTGGCTGCCTAAGGTCCCATTTCTGTAAATCATTCCACAGAAGTGCGAATCTGGCTGATTTGTATCATTTACATACTTCTTCCCATTGCAGCTCCAGCTCTGGCTGGGGTGTCAGTCTGGCCTGTGGAGGAGAGCACAGAGCGCATGCTACCTTGGGTTCCTGTCTGGCCATGTAATGGTGGCAGCAGCTTCACCCCTCGTGCCAAGCCCAGAGCTAGTGTCACTGCTGCCACTGTGTGGCCAGTCAGGGGATGGAAGCAGCCTGTGCTCCATGCTCCCTGTACTAGGTTCAAGCAGTGTCCCAGCTGGAGCTGAAACAGGAAGTTAAGTAGTGGCAAGGGGGGCAGGAGACTGGAGCAGGCAGTGATGGTTGCTCTGACTCTGACCCTGTGCTCAGCCACTGCCACTACCCTCCTCCCTCCCCTCTCCTCCCCCCGTTTGTACTCAGATTTAAGATGAAGGGCTTTAACCCCATGTTGAATGGGAAAACTTCTGTTCTGGATTCAAGTAAATCCAATAATTAGTACTTAATAAAAAATTGCATCTGTTTCAATCTGTATACCACCCAGAGCACTGAAGAGCTAAAAGCTTCTCAAAGTACTATATGAAATTGAGTCCCTCAATGCACATGGCACCCCCTGCCTGACCACCCCCCTCCCGCTCCCCCCAGCCCCTTGCAGGTTGGACTCTGCCAGCCTGCAGAGACCTCTTTGCAAAAATGGAAAATCCATGCATTTCTCCATTAAAATGAGAAATCTGCATTTTTCTCAGTAAAAATAGAAAAACTGCCGGGGGGGGGGGTTCTGTTTTCCCATGGGAACTGGATAACCTGGATCCTTGTTTATAAGTGTCCCAAACAATAAAAATGAAGAGCATGCTGCTGTGAAAATATAACTGTATAAATGGTAGAGCTGAGAAAGAACACAAACAAATGGAAAGACAATTATAGAATCATAGAAAATGAGGGTTGGAAGGGACCTCAGGAGGTCATGTAGTCCAACACCCTGCTCCGAGCAGAACCATCCCCAGCTAGACCATTCCATCCAACACTTTGTCTCCCAGGTCTTAAAAACTTCTAAGGATGGAGATTTGCACAACCTCTCTGGGTAGGCTGCTCCAGTGTTTTACTACTCTTTTAATTCAGTAGGCTGGAAGAGCTCATACTTGGATTAGGTCATGAAAATCAAGAGCACAGATGGATTGGAGACCAAAATAATCAGGAAAGCCATAAGGCAAGGATGGCTTGCCACACGTACAAAAGAGACTATACAAGATTATACAAAAAACAGATATTTTTTCCATACACCTCAATAATCTGAGTAACATCTAGAACTGTCTCCATAGGATGAAAAAGCAGAAGGATTCATCAGCCTACCTGAATTTAAAATTGATAGAGCCAGTGAATGCCGCAAGAAATAGTAAGTGCGTTTAAAATTATACGGTACAATGAAAAGAGAAAAAAGGAAGAACCCTTTAAGGGGTGAATTTTTCCTGATTCATAACCATGTGGGATTTTCTTCTAAAGCTGATTATTTATATCAGTAAAGTTTCTTTGCATTGTTAGATTCTGCAATAAAAATCAAACATTTAAGTGCACAGTAGCTATCTGAAGTTTGCTTTAAAGGTATTGATGGCTTTTCTGTAAATATGTAGCTGTAGTTTTGTGTAATTATTTTAATATCAATAGCAGTGTATTTGCAAGAAGCAGATTAATTGGAGTTTATTGTCATTCTCAAGTAAGCATTTCAAATATAAGATTAATGAAAGGCCTTTAGAGGAGATGTTCAAATCCATGTCAGGCACAAATCTTAACTTTTTTCAAGACTAACTAGAGAAGTTTTCAAAATTCATGCTGCAGCTGTCTGTTGGCATTAAAAGTTTGTCCTGACTTAGAGGAAACTAACTGAAGCCAATAGTTCAGCACCTACTTATCTGCATTTGGGATCTGACCTGAAGCTCTAAAATGACTTTCTCTCTAGTTTATGCTTTTGGTGTATATATGTATCTGTTTTTCCATGAGTATGCATGTACCTATACGTGTTCAGGATCATTACCACTGAAATCTTTGTGCATTGCTTGCTAAATGGAATTTTTCATGTTTGTTCTTTCTCTTTTTCTTTAACGTTCAGCTGACATCATTGTCACTGTCGGTGACTTTCAAATTTTTTTTTTTTTAAGCATGTTTTTCTCCTTTCAGGTTTTCCAAGTGTGATTGAAATAGTGTAAACTGCTGAAAAAGTAATCATTGCCTGTGATGATTTGCATTCTCATTTAAAAAGAAAACTCATTCTTTTCCTTTTAGTTTAAGCTTCCTTAAATAACAAAGAAAAATAAAAATATTTTAATAAAAAAAATTACATTTTTAAATAAAACTATAAAGAATGTGTCGAAAATAAAAATGTATTTTATATTTTTGTTTTTTCCTGTATTTCTGTTTTTTCATTAATGCAGTATACACCTGGCTATGCTTTATTTAATTTCTTGTTTGTGAAACAGCATTGCTGATGATTTCCACTAATCCCTGATAATTTCAATTCATTTAAATTTTTCACTCTGTGTGCTTTCTACAGGATAGTAGAACAAATAAGGTTATTAATTTTTTTGACTGAATGGGAAATAAAGCAAATAAGGTAGCTAGAAATTAGATGACAGATGTTACAACAATTTTACTGAAGTCAAGTTTTGGGTCTCAACAACTTGATTATATCTTTTTTTTAACAGAACAGATGCTGCTAAACATCTGTTCTCACTTGTGTAACATTGTGATGTACTAACACATAGAAAAATCCTTTTCCTCTCTCTTTACAAGTTGCTTTCCCTGCTTTCTGTTAATATTTAAAGATATTTAAAGACCAGATGTTTTTTACAAGAATTGTTCTTCCTTACAAATAAGGACAATGCACTGAATATAAAATAGTGTTTTCTTTTAAAATTTGAGTTTGCTCAGCACTTTTGCTTATTTTAAAATGGTCTTTAAAGCCATTTTTTTAAGTATTTCTCTATTGTAAATTAATATAACTTTGACATAAGTATCCATGTATTTTTTACTTATTAAAATTATATTCATACTTTGCTTAAAATTGCTTTTAGTAATTTATCCTACATAATATATCATATATTAAAAAACTGTTAACATTCAGTCATGTTGATTACTTTGGCAGGAAGGAACAATGACATGCTATTGCCCATCATTCTCAATGACCTCAGAAACACCCTGTTGATGTGCTACTGCTTATCAAAAATCAATCACCACATCACGTTTTTCTATTTGATTTTCTTTTGTTAGAGCTAAAGTGAATACTGAAGGCACTGACATTTTGAAAAGTTGTAGGGACTGAGATTTTCTGCTATATCAAGTAAATATTTCAATCAGTATTCTGCCTAGAAACACTTTTAACACTTCCACCCATGCACACACAATTGTCTAACAGTTCCTTAACACCCATTATGGAAATGCCTGTTGTACTGACTCTTTCTACTTTTGTTTGTAGGCAGATGATACTTGTCTTTATAATCAGAGACAGCTAGATGGATCCTAAAAGTTATGAGATTTTCCAGAATGTCCTTTGTTTTCCTAATCAACTAAGCAAGTCTCAACTCATTAAGTAACTTGAGTGCCTATCTAAACCTTGAAAAGGAAAGGTCATATGATTACTGTTTATATCACTGTGTTTTTTTCTCCCCCACAGTGCATTCAAAGCCTGCCATCCTAAGATCAAAAGTTTTTATTTTGCTGCTGAACATCTGGATGACATGAACAGGTAACAAAACCCAATGCAACTGTATAGAAAACCACTTTTGAGTATAATGCTTTACTCTGAAGGGCATGATAACATGTTATAGAGTTGTCTTCATTTTAATGTTAAGTTTGAGGTGCATATAGGGCATCTTATTTCTTTCAGATGAAATCATATTTTTAATATTTTTAATATATATGCCAAAATGGTCTCACAGATCTTATTGAAACTTTTAAAAACAAATTCACCTTTGAGATTAAATAGATCTTCACAACTGTCAACCAAATAGGAAGGCTCAAAGAAGTAAAACCAAGGTTTTCATCAATATTTCTTTGAAGCAATGCCAACAGTGATTATGTTTTCATACACCATGGCTAAAGAAAGCAGAACTCCTCAGGATTTTCTGTTCAGAAGATAAAGTAACTAACATTATTGTAAAAATGCTACTTTGGGGCCTGATCCAGCATAGATGCTGAGGGCCCACAACTGAGAGCTTAGCATATAACAATAGTCAAAAATCACTCTTTGCAATGGGCCAACTCAAGGCTTAAGCTCTCTTAACTCCTCAAAATCCCATTTTGAAAAGCTGAATACTTTAACTGGGAGAGTGATACTGTCCTGATCACACAGGAAGAAAGGGTAGATGCAAGGGATATGATTTAGGCTTTATTCATTGTTGGAAACCACTGCATATGGAGGTTGAGAGGCTGGGAAAAGGGAGTTGGAATTTTTGTCCACTTCTGTGATCTTATTAAATGCTTTAATTTTCAGAAAGACTTAAGCAAGGTATACCTTTAACTTGTTTGAACGGACAGTATGAAAACACTGGGATTTCTATGTCTATTAATGTGTTTACTACTGTATCTTTTTTATTTTCCCCAAACATCAAATGGAATCCATTTATTATGACAAATATAATGGAAGCCAAATATATAGTCAAAGAAACTGAATTAAAGTTTCCCATCTTAAATTGAGAATCCTGCTCCCTTGGGCTTATGTGTGAAGACAACACTGACAAGTAAGATGATGAATACCTTTCTAAATTAAATATAAAAGACAAGCAAAGACAATCCATGTAACCAGCTCATAAATACTTTAGTAATGTTGACACCTTTAATATATTTGCCATGTTCAGCTGCTTTTGGCAACTCAGTTTCAGAAAATTTCCATTTCTTGCTGATGACATTTGACCAGAAAGTAAATTAGTTTTATATTTACCATTATTTTTATTCAAATATAGGTATCTGGTAAAGTTTTCAAAAGCAGCTATGTCAGTTGTGAGCTTTTGAAAGTCTTTTGCAATCAGAGGGACTTTGAAACCTTATTCTTTGTAAAGTTTTTGCATTTGGTTGACAGTTATACAATTCTGCTAGATAGACTAGTCACTAAGAATGCAGTTCACTAAAAATTGAACAAAATGTCCTCTGCAATAATGAAATTCTATCCTGACCATTCTAAAAATACTGTGAGTTTGAACACAAGTTAAATTTACATCGCTAAACCAGCATTGTGTGAAGAGGTGCCCTGTCTCTGAGGTTAAAAGTATATGCTATGCCAAATAGATCACAAAATTAAATAATGCATTAAAAAGTAAAAAAAAAATTAAAAAATGTTTAAATGGTCTTGGACTAATCTTAGTAATTTGATTTACTTCTCTTTTTCAAACTTTCCATCATAATTGACTTCTTTACATTTTAATTCATAAAAAAAATTAGACTGAAATCTGCTCTCATCTTTTTACACATTTAAATACAAACTATCGTCACCAAGTTCCATAAAGTTGATTAAAATACAGAGCTAGTATATGAAAGTAGTTGCCATTTAATAACAAGTTTCACATCCTGCACTAGTCCTGCTATGTGAAGATATTCTGAAACATTTTTATTAAAAGAAAAAAGATTCAGTCATTTCTGTTCATTTTTCTTGTCAAGTTTCTGACATGTGCTTTTATTATACATTATGCAGTTCTTTTCAGCACAGTTTGTACCATGTACTTCAGGCAGAGAAAAGTAAGTAGGAAATGCCTAAAAACATAGCTTTACTGAATGCTAGGAATAGTTAAATTTCAACATCAATTATTTAATTAAGCATTTTTAGTGGTTAAAGATATGTACATGAACAAGGTACATGAATAATATGTGCATTTATGCATACACAGTCCTATGCCTGCAAAATATGCATGTTAGAATGCATACAAGCAGTCCTTGACTTACGACTGTTCGAGTTATGGCAAACGGCACTTACAACCTTTATAAATTTCCATGCTGTTTTGAGGTTCCAATGTGGGTTTTGAATTTATGACCCTCAACACAGCTGCTTCTAGCTCATAGGTCCCTTGTGGTGGTGGGGAGAAGGGAGGGAAGGGCCGTGGAAGGGCAGATCAATGTCCCCACAAAGAGGGAGGGGCTGGGGCTGAGACAGGAGCTGGGGCAAGTGCTGCCCAGCTGGGTTGGTGGGGGGCGGGGCGCTCCCAGAATAGTGGTGCGCACCAGCAGGAGCCACCTCACCCACTCCCCACACCCCTTCTGCCCTGGCTGGGCACAGCTTGCCCCAGCCCCTCCCTCACTGTGGGGGTGTTGATCTACCCCCCCACACTCCTTCCCTCCCTCTCCACAACAGACTTACCAGCTGGATGCAGCTGTGTCAAGCTTTGAACAGGAACCAGTCCCCCTTTGATAACATTGTTCCTGTGGGAAAATTGGTTCTGAGTTACGTTTCATCTTAAGACTCAGTATTCAGGAACCAATTCCGTCATAAGTCTGAGGGCTGCCTGTAGTCTTGTTAGTGTTTAAAGGATAGTGTCAGTTGTTATCAGCCAGCATAGCTCTGTTAGTCAGGGGTATGAGGAGCTTGATTCCTTACTGCTGTAGCTGTACCAGCAGATGCCCCAATGTAGGGGCTGTTATATTAGAAAAACTGCACTTTTATCAATATAACTTGCTTTGTTGAAGGGGAGAGGGAGGAAGAGAGGAAAGTAGAATATTGTACAAAGTAAAAGCACACTTTGCCATTTTAGTTTCCTCACAGTAGATATTCCTTTACCAGGAGTCAGCAACTTTTTTGGGCAGAGTGCCAAAAACACCTGCAACCCCAATTTGTAAGATGTTGGTGTGCCAGGGGCAGACAGAGGAGGAGCTGTAAGGGGCCCAATCCTTGTTATGGCAGTGCACCCCGGCCCCTTCTCTGCTGTCTGCCCCAAGGCATGCATGCCAAGAAAAATGCTTTCATGTACCACACTCTGACACCTGTGCCAGGGGTTGCCTACCCCTGTCCTATACTATTAAAGAGCTCCTAGTACAGGCATGGCCTTACTTTTCTAGTTAATGTCCTAATCCTGTTATTTGGGTAACTTTTATTGCCTATGATCATCTTTTATGCTTCTTGGTGCATTTACTATGTATTTGCTAACCTGATCCTTTACTTAAAGAGAAATGCTCTTCTTTCTTGGTTGATGAGATCAACATTTAGCTTACCTTTAACATTTTTCCCCTTTTGAAAACTATGTCCTTGTCAAAACAAACAGTTATGGCTAGGTTAAGATACCATCTTCAGGGCTAAAAGCCACATCATAGGTAAATTTGGGGCAGGATAATATTCTGAATGTCTGTGTTCATATCCTACTGTGCCATTGTTCTGCCTTCTGGAAGCTAGACAAGTGTTTGATATTTACAAACATCTTCCTCCTACAGCTACTCCCTTCGGACCAAAACAAAGGGGAAAAGTATAATTTTGGAATTAGCCATATTAAAATCTTTCTTAAAGACTTCCAGACTTGAGGCCTCCTTTAAATTTCCAGTAATAGCATCTCTGTATTATGGTGAGAGTACAAATGGTTACTATTGTTGCTTGGACCCTTCAGGGCATCAGTTCGTTTTCTGGCTCTGAACATTACATATTCTGTTGTGTAGAATAAGGTAAAATAATAATTCATTTTGATGTATGCAACTTCATATAAAAGTTATTAAATATATGACATTTATATACACAAAGGTTTGAGATCAGTCACAAAATTCCTTGCTTTAGATGTTTGCAAGGGATATGCAGCAACATCACTAGGCGTGAATGAGAGGGGCACCCACCCCGGGTGCCAAGTTAGAGGTGGCGCTGGAATCACCCCCCTCTCAACCCTACAGAGCTCATGGTCTGTCAACATTACCATGCCAGGACTTCTGAAACAGTTCCCAACTAGTGTTGTTTTAAGAGTCACAGAGCCAGGGCAGGCAAACACCACCCCCACCCCCCCTTCCGAATAAACACTGGTTATGAAGATCTAGTGTACGAGCCAGGGAAGGTAGACTGTATCACAGAATTTTCAGAATTTTTTCAAGCATATTTTTACTATATCTTTTCATATTTGTAACAGAACAATATACATCTGTGCCAATGAATACTAATTGTCTTTGTAACTTAATAACCCCTAACATCTCTCCGTGATAATGGAGTATTTTATTCCTTTTATTTTCTTCAGAAGGGTTTTACAATTTCCCCTGCAGTCTATTGCAACAGGTTTCATTCTGACCACTGCTTATACACAAAAGTGTTCTGATCCTTATTGAGAAATTTAACATAGCTAAAGGAGCTTTGCTTGTGGGACCACGTGTTTATGTGCAGTGTCTTTTTTACATTACCATATAAGTTGCAGAAGTCAAAATTGTCCTTTTAGCACCCAAATTTACAAGCCACTCAGGAAGAAATGGTCCTTAAGTTTTTTGCTTTATTAAAGCATGCAGGAGAGAATTTCATTTGTTCCACTTGTATAGGAGTCTATAGTAGGTAGTATTCCAAATCATGGAACTGGTAATTAGATGTTTTAAATCAGTAATTGTGGATCAATACGCTGTATTTCTTCAAGTTTGTCATGAGATTGCATTTCCAGTAAGCAACATTTTCTGGCAACAAAATTACCTGCTTTAAAAGTAGGTAATATCATTTAGTTATGGGAGACAACATCTGTGTCACAAACAAGCCTCTATCATTTTTGTCTAATACACCATGGGCAGAAATGGCTACGTCGGTGCAGTCAACTAAAGTAGAACTCTTTCCTGGGCCTTTGTGATGAATTTAATGTAAAGTCTGGATGTCACTCTTCTGGTGATTTAAGATGTGACTACTTCTACATGGCAGCATTGGTTGATTTGTGTTTTCTGCCTTAAGACTCCAATTATTTTTTTTAAATGTACAGCAGCTATTAACTACAGTACCTGAAAGTTTAAGTTCCTTCATTCTGTCGTCTTTTTCTTCTATCTGTCCCATGGTAGCATTAGCTGTTAATATCAGATGTTTCATCCTTGCAACAAGAGTAGTGTTGTTACTGCTCTTCTTAACATAGAGCAATTGATGGACCCTATCAATTATCAAACACCACACCATGGTCTTTATTTCAGTGAGAGCTACTGAATATCATGATCTGATGGCTTGGTTACCACCCACTGAAATCCCTTCTAAACTTCATGTTTGAGAACACTTGCAAAGGATGCTATCTTCACTTGTGGGGAAAATACTGGATTCTGCATGCTTCCATACAGTATGCAAAGAAAGCCCATCCTTTGCAGTTTTCTGAATACTTTCTTCCAGTAAGAAAAATATTAATTTTTGTTGTCCTTCTCATTTTATTATATGCCAGCTTACTAAAACTGTAGTAAAGCTACTAGCTTAAAAAGCAAGGTCTGCTAAAACTCAGCAATGGTATGGCTTGGGTAAATAATTCCAGATTTACCAATGGGAGGTTGTCATGTTGGTTTAAAACCTCATTGATGGAGGAGCTGATATAGAGTGAACAGTTGGAAAATGAATACACTGAAAGCCCCCTGGGGGTTAGAGGGCAGGTTGAAGCAATGTATAGCTACAGGCAGCTGAATGTCTGTTTGACAATGACAGCATTGCTAAATGAAGAGAATAACTGTAGTTTATTTTTTAATTCACTCCGCTTATGGAAATACATTTTTCAGGTCTAAGTAGAGGTTAGTGTCTTAAACATGAATTGTGTTTTGAGGCAACTACCTTTCCCTCCCTTTGCCTTCTCAACTCAAACACAAAAGCAGGTTCTGAAGTATTCCCATCTCTTTGTACTCTGCACTGTAGGTAAGCTTTAAAAAACATAATGTCATAATTAAACACTCCCTGTCTGTTTAGAAATAAACCTATTCTTTTGACTACTTGGTTCTGATCTTTTCCCCTGCTAAGATGCCAAATCAGGCCTCAAAGTATTGCTTAAAACAGCATTTGTTCTTGAGAAGTCAGAACAGTGGGTGTATTGGTATGGTGGCACATGTGAGAGCAGTAAGTTTAATAGGTCTTTAATTATTTCAGAATCTTTTACTTTACAGATCTTTGCCATCATTTAAGCTTTTCTATTTGAAACAGAATCTTTGGTATGGAAACAATTTGTTCAGCAGCAAAATTATAGATCTTTGGAGTCACCATGAATAAAAGTATCACAGAAAACAGCTGTCTTATATGTAAAATAACAGTGTCCTGTATCTTCTTCAGATGGCTTATAACTTCATTTTAGTAGCAAAGTCCCCAAGTTAATAAGCTGAATTAGTATCATTCCTTTTTTAATATAATTTCAGATGGCTAAACAGAATTAACATGCTTGCTGCTGGCTATGCAGAGAGAGAGAGGATCAAACAGGAACAAGGTACAGTGTTGGTTTTTTTTATTATTTTGGTTGCTTCATTCAGTTCTCTATCTCAGCTGAACCATTCTTTTTTCCATATCTTATAGGTTCATTCCCACTATCTAAAAAAAGTCACAAATGGGTCTCGCTGCTTTGGGGGGGTTTTTTGTTTTGGTTTGTTTTTTCCCCCTTCAATCACAAGGAGGTTCCTTTTCACTGGGAGGTTGATGTTTGATTTCTAGGGGACCAGAGAGGAGGAAGCAATTCTGTATGTATTAGGAACAAAAAAAATTCTTCCAAAGCCTGTTGACTTAATTTGCTTACCATAAAGACTTTAATGCTCGGCTTCAATTTTTTACACTTCTGCTGCTTCCATTAGACTGAGATGTGTGACTTTATCAACCCATTTGATATAGCACATTATTTTTAAGAGTGGCAGATTTATAGAATCAATACTGTACTTATGCAATGCCTGTCCACATAACATTAGCTTTCATGACTAATATTCATGGATAAAAAAATAAATGTAAAAAAATTGAGTCTATCAAATGGCATGATCTTTAGTGCTTTAACTTAGAAATAATTGCAGAAAGTAGAAAAGAGAATGGGGTAGTATTTCATCATGATACAAAATAGCTTTCTATCCAAAATCCTATAAAATTGTTGCACAAGGCCACAGAAAAGCTATATTTGCCCACCTGGTCTTATGAATGCATACTGTCTTTTATATGGCAGCAGACCCAAGAAAATTAGAGTAGCCTTGATGATAAAAAATTTGTGGAGATGTGTTCTCCACCCATGGATCATTAAATTGGAACACCAGGGTTTATAATTCCTCTTACATTGCTGAGCCTTCATCTGTGAGACTGTTTTTGCCTTTGAGGCACATAAAGCCCAGAGCTGTGAATCATGGAAGAAATATGAAATGTAAAAATGTTAAGACATTTTAAATGAAAAGATATACTCTCTTACGTAGCTCACTAAGATTTACAGCTTGTCAAGGCACTTTTCAAAGATCCTAGGGCATTAACTATTTCTGTTACAGCAGCCTAATGATGGCCTTGCCTTTCAGTTCCTGAAAGGCAAACAGTTCATGGGAAGCTGTGAGAAGAAAGCTTAAGATTCATAGATTCATAGACGCTAGGGCTGGAAGGGACTTTGGAAGATCATCAAGTCCAGCCCCCTGCCCTAGGGGCAGGAAGTCAGCAGGGATCATAGGATCCCACCAAAATAAATTTCCAAATGTCTTTTGAAGGCATTCGAGGTAGGCGCTTGAACCACCTCCAACAGCAGTCTGTTCCAAACCTTTGGGGCTCGTACAGTAAAGAAGTTCTTCCTTATGTCCAGCCTGAAATGGTCATGGAGGAGTTTGTGACCATTCAATCTTGTCAGCCCTTGGGGCGCTCTGGTGAACAGACGTTCCCCCAGATCCTGGTGAGCACCCTTGATAAACTTATAGGTGGCCACCAGATCACCCCTGAGGCTGCACTTTTCCAGGCTGAAGAGTCCCATGGCTCTCAGCCTCTCATCATAAGGTCTGTATTCCCAACCTCTGATCATGCATGTGGCTCTCCTCTGCACTCTCTCAAGCTTCTCCACAGGCCAACTACAACTGGATTTACTTGAGAAGCATCTATGGATGCAGGCCAGTATTTTGCTCACTTTACTAGCCACAGCATCACGTTGAAAGCTCATGTTCATCTTGTGGTCAATCATCTGGTGGACAGCTAGGCCCAGGGTCAGAGAGGACCCAGACAGGGAACTTCTGGTGGCACTGGATGTGTTCAAATCAGCAGGTGCCAGAGGACTGGAAAAGGGCCAATGTGGTCCCTATTTTCAAAAAAGGGGGGAAGGAGGACCCAGGAAATTATAGGCCTGTTAGTCGTACCTCAGTCCTGGGGAAGCTCTTTGAGAAAATTATCCCACAGGTGTTGCAGTGGACGTAGTCTTTCTGGACTTTAGGAGGGCCTTCGACACTGGCTCTCACCCCATTCTCACTAAAAAATTCGGAGATTGTGGTCTTGATGCCTACACAGTCAGATGGGTCACCAGTTGGCTGGAGGGTACCCAGAGAGTGGTGGTGGACGGGTCATTTTCGACCTGGAGGGATGTGGGCAGTGGGGTACCCCAGGGCTCGGTCCTCAGGCTCCACTGTTCAATATCTTCAGTGACTTGGACAAGGGGGTGAAAAGCACCTTGTTCAAATTCACGGATGACACTAAGATGTGGGGAGAAGTGGGCACACTAGAAGGGAGGGAAAAGCTGCAATTGGAGCTAGACAGGTTATGGGTGGGCAGATGAGAACAAGATGGGATTCAGTACTGACAAGTGCAAGGTGCTGCACCTGGGGAGGAAGAACCAGCACCATACCTACAGGCTGGAGAACTCCCTTCTTGTAGGCACAGAGGCAGAAAAGTGTCTTGGAGTCATTATATACTCCAAGATGAACATAGGCCACCAATGTGGGGATGCAGTCAGGAAGGTTAACTGCACCTTATCATGCATCCACAGATGCATCACGAGCAGGTCCAAGGAGGTCAGGCTGCAGTTGCAGTACTGTGTCCAGTTCTGGGCGCCGCACTTCAGGAGGGATGTGGACAACATCGAGAGGGTCCAGAGGAGGGCCACTCACATGATCTGGGGGCAGCAGGGCAGGCCGAACGAGGAGAGGCTACAAGACCTGAACCTGTTCAGCCTCCACAAGAGAAGTCTGAGAGGGCATCTTGTGGCCATCTATAAACTGGCCAAGGGAGACCAGCAGGCAATGGGAGAGTCCCTGTTCCCCCGAGCACTACTGGGAGTAACAAGGAATAATGGCCATAAGTTGATGGAGAGTAGATTCAGGCTAGATATCAGGAGGCACTACTTCATAGTCAGGGCAGCTAGGATCTGGAACCAACTTCCAAGCGAAGTGGTGATTGCTCCTACCCTGGGTGTCTTTAAAAGGAGGCTAGATAGACACCTTGCCAGGGTCTTTTGACCCCAGCATTCTTTCCTACCCATGGCAGGGAGTTGGACTTGATGATCTGCTCAGGTCCCTTCTGACCCTACCAACTATGAAACCCCCAGGTCCCTTTCATCTGTAGTGCTAACCACCATAGCACTGCCGAGCCTATAAGCGTGCTGCAGGTTTTTCCTCCCAAGGTGGAGAACCTTGCATTTTTTGGTGTTAAACACCATCAGGTTTTCATCCACCCAATTCCTGACCCTGTCAAGGTCTGCCTGTACCACCATTCTGTTCTCAGGTGTGGATGCTTTACCCCAGAGTTTGATGTTGTCGGCAACCTTGGACAGTCTGCTTCTGACACCAGTGTCCACATCATTAATGAAGATGT